GAGAGAGAGAAAAAAAAAGGGGTAAGAACCCATATTGGGCTCTCTTAGAGAACCCAGACCTAGGTTCTCTCGAGAACCCAAAAAAAAAAAAAAAAAAAAAGAGTAAATTTGTAATTTTACTTTTAAAATTATTTGGTTATATAGAGTGTGCATCCCTGAGTGTTGAACCGGGGTGTGCATGAATCATGATCCTTTGCAAAAACTCACATAAAATTTCCAACATATGTATATCAATAGTGTTCTTTTGTTTAAAAAAAAAAAGAAAAAAAAAAGAAAAAATCATTTGTTTGTGGTACTTTTCTTACTCCTTATTTCCGACGTCCCATTTTCCTTTCTGACTATTTACTAATTTTTTATTCATAATTCAACTCATACAATTTTTGTTAATAACATCGACATTGGTTATCATATGTGATTCGTTTCTTTTTCTTGATAACGCTGACTTTAGTTGTTTTCCTTATTGCTGGTATAGATATTAGGAAAGTTGCTAAGTGATCTCTATTTTCAATTCCAGTCTTTTGATGTAAATTCCCATTCTTCTTTCTTTGCTTTAAGCTTGTGAAGAAACTGAGTAAGAATAAGCAGTAAATGTATGACTATTCTCACTACATATATTCGATTAAAATTTGAATAATTTTTATGAAATGTGCAAGTTCTTTCATTTCCAAAAATCAACTGGGGGAGTATTTTTTTGCTCAAAAATTTTGTGATTAATTTAGTTTTATCAACTAACAAAAAAAATCGTCAAGGGCTCAAAAAACGGCAAAAAAAACATTATGAGTTATGAGTTATGACTTATTATCACCTCTCACATTGCCCTTGACAAATCTCGGAGCGGAGTTATAAACTAGTGGTGTCAATTAAACTAAGTGAGAGTTATTTATGCAACAGGTCCATTATGAACTTCGTTTGAACTCTTACGAGACATGTGCTTCGATTTCTTCTCCCACTTCTTTCTGCTTCCACAAATACAAAAGAACCATGATTAGCATACACTCATTCGTACCACGCTTTCGTTATACACTTTTTTTTTTTGGTTAGTTCTCACACTCCATTAGTCTCCATTTCATTCTCA